TTTTTGAGATTAAATAGAAGAAAATACAAAACATTAAACATGTAAACAACACAAAAGCCATATTAAACGCAGACTACTTTTGGCCCGGATGTAGGATTCATCACGTCATCACTTAACGACCGGATAGTGAAAGACATAAAGCGAGCATCAGATATAGTGCTGCTGCCAAAAACTAGCCTTGCTTATCAGAGTAGCAGTGGTGCCCTCTCCAGTTCTATGGTTCTAGTTTAAGCGGTTCTATATCAAACTATTACCTGAAAATTTTGATTTCATTTTAATGTCTGAATTGAAAGAATAGTTTGTTAAAAAGGTTAATTAGCTTCATTAGAGAAATGCACCTATGAGACTGGTCATTCCCTAAAATGAAGGCTATATGTCACCTATCAGCTTTTCACCCGTTTCACAAAAACTACTCAAGATATACAGCAATTCAGTGAGTGATTTAGGCAAAATTCAGGAAAGGTCTCATGGTCTTTTTACAGTAATGCACCATGTTTTTGACATTATTGTCTAGAGGATGGGATAGTATATTTATCTGGCAGTTTAACAAGACTGTATTATGTGTTCAGCTTTTCAGTCTCTTCTGCTGGCACACGTAAAATCACTGTAAAAGAAAAAAACTGTAACATTCAGCTGTGCTTTTTATAGACAAAGTTAATACCACATGAAGTCTCTAATTAGGTGAGATAGTGCAATTTAGAATAATCCCTCTTAAGCAATTTTCCAGTCATTACACACAAGTTTGGGAGCACATTCACCGAAAAACAAATAAGACAGTCAAGGAAAATGTAGTGCTTTATTCCATATTCCATACAACCAGCTCTAATTTGAAGGGATTCCTCATATGTGTGGATTTCTTTATAGCACAGTGTTTACAACATTAAACACGAGAGTACTACTTGTACTTGCCACAAATCACACAAAATGCAAGTAAAGATTATTAGGGATCATTAGCTTAAACATCAGCAGTATTGCTGGTGTGAAGTTCATTTGATATTTATGATGCCGTGTTCACATCCACAGGATCAGGATCGACTAAATTAAGCCCCACATGCTTTCCACAACCCATCATACTTTAGTAACACAGTGATGAGACCAGAGAGCAGCACAGATAGAAAAACAAGGAGGCAACTGCTTCAATTAATATTAATTAATCTTCATACTGACAACAAGCATCAGATCCCTCTATACTTCTGCTGTCATTTAAAAGGGTCTTTAAACCTTTCCACGAGAGCTGATACACTTACTGATTGTTTAAAGCACTTTAGGGTACTAGT